TGCAGCATTGAGCAAAATCCCTGCGGACTGTAAACAAACATGACAAACTGCTCCTCCCTGCAGCATCTTCATGCAACGGGAAGAGGAAAGTCCAGGCTGGATTGAGGCTGCATCTTCATGCAGCATTGAGCAAAATCCCTGCGGACTGTAAACAAAAATTACAAAACTGCTCCTCCCTGCAGCATCTTCATGCAACATCTGGAGGCACACAAAACTCGTCTTGTACAAACAAATGCTTGAGGGCTTAAACGGTACGTTCGACAAGCAACTAGAAGCTGCATCATCACACAGCTCTGATGTCTCGTCTGCATCCAACATGCTGCATCTTCATGCGGCATGTGCCCTGGAGGTTCCCAGGTGTTACGTCTTCACACCAAGAACACAACCTCCCAATCCTCTGTGCTCAGCTGATGACGCAGCAAGGAGCCATGGGCTGAAGCATCCAAGGACTATTGAGAGCTTCTTCGGCATCACAGCGATCGCACTCAGGAGCGAGCATGTGTTTGGCGAGCTCTAAGGCCGGGATTGACTCCTCCTGCAGGAAGAACCAACGGCATGAAATGTGACAGGCCTCTCATGGCATCTGATTCCTTATCAACTAGGTGACGAGTCTAAACACTGAGTCACATCATCATGCCCGATGTAAAACCCTTGGGCCCTTGAAATGAATGACCATTCCTGCTTCCACGTCTTCTTGTCCAGAAGCTTCTCTGCATCCTGCAGCATCTTGGGAGTTGGATTTTCTCCAGGTTGGACGTAGTAAGCCCCACAAACCAGACCGACAAAAAGCACTCCTTGGACTTGATACTGTGGCTACCAAAATCATTAATTCCATCCGTCACTGTATGCCCCTGTACCAAGCATACTAGGCTATGTTTGGTAATTATACAGTATACACCATTTTTGACAGCTTTAGCTCAGCCGGGGTCAAAACCATTCATCCAATACGCCAAGTCTCCGGTGCTGTACAGATCACATTTCTCTGTATAAAGATTGCCCTGGTCCACCTCTGGCGCCATGAATGGGCGTGTGCCAGCCCGACCCGACATCGCAAAGCCTTGTGGAATCTCGCACGCCAGGTTGAAGTCGGCCAACTTCCATTGGTGTCCTCTGGACTAGTAGGTTGGAGGCCATCGCTCTTGGGGTTGGAGGCCATCGCTAGTAGGTTACCTTAAAGTCTGTTTCTTAAAGTCTTTTTCTTAAAGTGTCTGGATGTGTTGTCCTCTGGACTGAAGCACATTGTCGGGCTTGATGTCTCGGTGTGCCACCTGGTTCTCATGGAGGAAGCTTACAGCGGACAGAAGCTGCTGCAGAGCATTCCAAATCTCCCAGGTGCTGGGTTTGAGATAGCATTTCATCCCTCCAAGTTTCTCAACTTTGTCAGCCATGTACTCTGTCATGCTACCCTTCGTACAAAGCTCCAGCATCATGTCCATGATGCCCTGCTCCTGAAACACATCGTAAAGGCGGACGATGTTCTTGTGCTTCATGCGGCTCAGCAATCGCACCTCAATGTCCTGCCAAGCGCTCTGGTCAAGAAGGACTTGCCTTGGCAGGATCATCAAGACAGACTTGCGTAACAAACTCTAAACTCTACGCAAAGAAACAAAAAAACTTTGAAAAAATAAAACTAAAATAGCTGTTTCTTGAGAGATAGATATGATAGGTGTGGGAGGAAGGTGACCGATTTGATCTGGTGTTCAAAGCGCTTTTTCCAAAACACTGCATGTCAACATAACAGCCATTCATGATCTAGGAACTTCGACTCTTTAATATGTACTCAATTTCTTAAAGAATGGAACCATAATTAGTCTCATTCCAAAATATGTTCATGACAAAAGCAGAACTCGGGCAGGAGGGGGGCTACCTTTGGTGAACAACTCGTCAACCAATCCATAGATCGGATTCTCATCGTTATTCTGTTTGGTTTTGGCCGAGGCACTTCCATGCAAAGCGTTCTTTCGTGACCTTGTGCTGCACTTCGCTCACTTGCCCAAACTTCCCACGTCCCAAACCCCGGATCACCGTGTATTTGTCTGCCACCTGGATGGTCGGGTGCGAGGGTTTGGGCAACAAATCAGCTCTCTCCAGTCAGAAAGACACCAAACAATTGGGGACAATGTTGATTGAGATGACACACCAATCTTGTCATCCTTGGGTTTGAGGCCCTGCCTCCTTGGACATGGTGGATTGTTTGGAATCGCTTCTGGGATCCCGCTGTGGCACTGGGCAAGGCATTGTGACGAAATCGTAATGCAAGCGTAGCACTCTTTGCGTGTTGGACCCTTGGGCCGTTCGCGGCTGCAGAAAAAGAAGTCAGGAAGTTTCAGCGAGCTGCAAACGTGCGAGAAGGATCAGTTCCAAGACCCGTGCTTGGTGCTTAGCCATTCATGGCAGTCGATGGCGTCACCAAAGCAGATTCACAGGATGCCGGATTCTACGCCGCTTTGTTCAAGATATTTCAACATGTTCTGAATCTCAGGATCTTGAATGAAACAGAAGCAACTGTACCCTGGCTCAACAATCATGCAACAGAAGAGGGGGTGCACAGTACAAAGACGGTCCAAGATGTCTTTCAGCCGAATTCATTCTCCACCTTCAAGTAAATGTGCAATACTGTTGGGAGTTCAGGAGATGGAGTTGCGCTTAACATGGATGGAACCCACTCCCTCTTCCCCGTCACCTCTACTCGTCGGCCAGGAATCATGGCCTGAAACAGGTGGCCCATATAAGCTGAAGCACAAGTAGCAGTGGAAACGGTGATGGTGACATTCTCTCGATCAAACTTGAAGGTACTGTAAGGTGCGTAATGCCGAGAAATAACAATGGCTGAAACCACAATGGTTGGTTCACAAAATGCGTCTGGCTGCAGCTCCAAACCTCTATCTTGGTGGTTCTAAATATTGCATTGAACGATGCAGGTACAAATCCATCCACATATACATAAGTAAAAACTATTAAAAACTCAGGTCTTTCTGAGCTGCCGGACATTGAGCGCAGCGCTATCACCTCCACGCATGTTCTGGCCAATGATCTCAGCACCAGCCTGGCGATCAATCGAGGTCCTCCGCTTAGCCTTACTTCATCTTACTTCAGTCGAGACATGAGACGTCTGCCAAAGCTTGGCCTCTCAAGTTCTAGCCGAACGGGACATGCTCGAGGCACCTCTCCAAATCCCAAAGCCAAGAGGGATCCGATCTTGATGATGGTCCTTGGGTGATAGAACGTATTAGAATAAGGCCATATGGCAACATGGACACTGCTCAATTTCAAGTCAAGTTTTCCCGATGTTACTTCAAAGAAAGATTTAGATCCGCCAAAAACATGGTCTCTACCTTCGCATCGGACACACTGAGATGCCGCACTTTTCCAGCACAACCGTCTCCATAGGCTCAGGAATCTGCTTTGGCGCAGAGCTTCTTCTCCTGTGCAATGAACGTTGTGAGGTATTGGTCGAACGAGTCATACGCCTGGACCACATTGCTTGTGGCGTGGAAGCCAACAGAACTATGCTCTGCACACCCTCAGCTCGACTCGACGGTCACTGCGAGACCTCTCAACAACGACATGTCGCCTTTGCATACAGCTAAGTCCTTGCATTCTGCCTCTTTTCAATGTGAGGCCCATGAGATTCGCATGGTTTCCTAAATACTGCGCTTCTCAAAGTTACACCAAAGATGTCCATCTCCTTTCCACCACCCCCCATGCCGCGCCTAATGCATTTCAGAGTGGCAGAGCAACACCTGGAAGCGCGGGGTATGGGCTCCGGCGTCAAACCCGGAAGCAAAGGGGCTGAGGTCTCACCTCCAAATAGGCTACAAACACAACCAAGCCAAACCGTGTCCAGAACGGAGTCCTTACTGTCAGGCATGTCACGCCTCTCCCTTGGGAGGCTCTGAGGGGCCACGGGTGACTTGTTCATTGGCTGAATGGCCAAACCTAGAGTGGCTTGTAGTATTTGGGCGATCCCTACAAGTGGGCCATATTGTGCTCAGCCAGGAAAAAACATCTTGAAGAGTCCTTGTTCTGCAGGCAACGCCTGCCACATGCCTCTTTAATTGAAGATTCCTGGTAAAGAATTAACATTCTTGGCTTGGCAAGACATCCACCACCGGTACCACTGCCGCCCCCCCCCCCCCCCGCCAGGCCGCACAGAGGCCCCCCGACCGACTGCAGCAACCCCGCTTGGCGGCGCTCTCCTCGGAGAGCCGGTCGAATCGAAGGGAAGAGAAACAGCCCTTCAATTGAGACGTGTTTGGATGGTCATTTGGATGCTGTTTGGATGGATGTGGGTGACATCAGCTGTGCTGACTTGAGCCTGTCACCTCGAATGTGGATCTTGCTAAGGGCAGTGTGTTTCAGATCGGGTTGCACGGCTTTCAGCTCTATAGGACTCCGATCTTGCGCATTGAAAAGACCAATCGTGTCGAACATGTGTCACATCTGGATCTGCTGCTTGGTGCGCTGCCGGATCGTTGGGCTCCCTTTGTTGGCCCCGCTTGATTGCTCTCACCTCAATGGCTACTCTGTAGACCCAAGAATAGAGATCCTGAAAAAATGGCACACAGTGGCAATGTGTGCGTCACACATCAGTGCCTGCTCTCTGTGATGCTCCTCATCACCTGGAAATTAAAGAACATGCAGAGGATCTGTGAGCTTTTGTACTGTCCTCATCTATAACTGCTAGTGTGGTATTCTCCTACCATGGTCAGAATTAACAGTAGGGCAGCACACCCTAGCTTCTCGGATGTCTCTCCCTACAAACTCCTACAAACGAAAGCTTATCGACGCAAAGCTCGCCAAGCTCATGCAAGCAACATCAATGCTCCCCTCCGGCCTATGGTCATTGCTTCGAGCGGGTTGTTCCGGATCTTATCCAGCTTGGAGATCATTCGCTCAATCGGTGTGAGAACTAACCTGCTCGCTTTAAAGACTGCCCCAAGCCCGAGTTAGCAGCCTTGGCCTCCCTGGTTGCTCTCCTTACAAATTGTCCTTTTTTTACCTCAACGAGAACTCTACACAATTGCCTGGTCAGCTCTAAAATTCCAAGCAATCGAGTCGAATTGAGTCCAACGCCATCAGGCCTATTGGCATCTTGTGAGAAGGTCATCGCCCCGAAGCCCAGCAGGAAACAAATGAAAATGGTCTGCGCCTTGGATTTGAATTTGGCAAGACCAGGGCTGCGATGGCAGCCAAGGTGCCAGGCGGCCCATCTACTTGCAAACTGGTTGCTTTCGTTTTTAAAAACAAGTTGGACCAGGACACGTCTTCTCCAAAACGCCAGGTTTTGAATTCCAAAACGCCAACGGTCGACTGGCTGTCTGTAGCTAAAGAAGATCAACTGGGCGCCATCTATGGGCATCTATGGCCCAGGCCGTGTTCAAGATCGCTTCTAGTCGGGCTCCAGACCTGATGGGACCAACGGCAAAGCTGAATTTACCTACGGAAGGTCGGCATCCGATAGCTACTACTGAGTTACTATTGCGGCTTGTTCGGTCAAGTCCATGGATTACTTAGAGACTTAGAGTAGCTTGTCATTTTAGCTTTAAAAAGAACTACGAGAAACTGACTGGTCAAAAGGGATCAGAAAGACCACGACTGTCACGATTTGTTTTGCGCCCGAAAAGATTCCGCCTGCGGTCAAAGACGAAAATGAAGTGGATCTCTTCGTACTCTGCCGAGGTGGCGGCCTGGTTGCAACGCCACGGGTGGTTGGACGGAAAGTGAGGTCATGTGAGGTCCAAGCAGTCGGAACGATCACGGTGCGTTCATTGTAGCGAAGCTTTTCAGGACAATCCTCAGCGCAAGCATGCGCGGGCTTGTTGAAGCTGGGAAGAGTAAGCAGGATCTAATTTGGGAAAGAAAGCCATCACATGCCATCACCCAGTCTCCCTCATATTTGCTTTCAAAACATGTTTTCAACTTAACAACAAAGGCCCCGGCCAAGTTGGCATCAATCGCTGCCAGGAGGGAAACACCCCGCGCGGCTCCGCCAACGCAGCTCCTAAGAGGCTGACCAATGAGGTGATATCAATAAGGCTTCGTGCAGGGGCTTAGCAATTGCCTGATTGCGTGGTTGAACGATCAACAAATCTGGTGTTCCAAGACAGCTGTGCGATCAGATGCATCTCTGAACTGAGCCCATCGCGTGGTGTTCGGATATGGAACGAACAAAAGAGCCTCTGGGTCCGAGGTCAGGTTGCCTGGCAGTGAATAGCCTACCACTATCCCTAAAGTTGTGAAAGGCTTCATGGTGCACGCTTCGGAAAGATGGAGCAAACCGACCGGGTCAGCGTCCGACTGCCAAGATGTGTTGGAATCCGAACCCACCACGAGGTGCTGTCGCCATCGAAGACGAAACAAGTCACAGCAAAACATGCAGTCAGCCTACCTTGATAGTACAACCAATCTGTGCCCGCAAAGCGAGCGTTCCTGGCCGCGTGGGTCATGTCGTCAAAATCAGATGCGGCACAAGTGCCATCGAATTTGACCCCCAATTGAAATGGCATCGCCCAAACGCAGCCAGGTTGCGGATCATAACTTCCTGTACCTCCAAAGCAGGCGCTTGGCGCTCCGCTCGCAAGTCGAGAGTGAGGCCAAGCTTTCGCATCAATGGTCCCAAGGTGCAAAGCAATTAGAAGACCCAAATAGCCCCAACTCGCCCAACATCGTCGTGCCTCTTCCCTCGAAGGAAGGTAAGAAGAACTGTCCCAAGGTCTCGTTGTCCCTGAGAGGCAAACGACGTGCGCAAAGCTCTCCTGGACTCCTCCCCTTGCTTTAAGATGCTTTAAGACCATGAAACTTATGTGGCTGGCCAGTGGCTTGAAAGCGATTGACTAAGTACTCAAGCATTGTGGGATCTGAAATGTTGAACTTCTACCACCAGCCAAGGCATGCACTCCCACCTTCTTAGACCACAAAAGTCAAACAGTCAAACAGTCAAACAGCTTCGACCTGCGGGAAAGAAAAGAAAATCGGGCGGCCGCACGGATGGACGCCGGCGAAGAACAAGCTGTTGAAGCTGCTCAAAGGAGAACTAACTGCCGTTGAAGGCTTTAGGTCCTGGTCCACACAGCTTTGCACTCTCGATTGGTCAATAGGTGTATAGTGTGTTTTTGGTATGAGAAAGGGGGTGAGCTGAGAGCTGGTAAGAATGTCAAAAGTAAAGACTTCCCCTCCAGCAAGCAGTCCTCTTGTGTGAATGGACTGTGGTAGTAAGAATACAGGAAAAAGTCATCCACGTAGACCTCTCTGCCTTTGGAGCTCATATAAGCGGCTTGTGCTGTGTCATTCGCGTAGGGCTCGTAAAGACTCATGTCATCCCGCCATCTTCGGTAGAGGACGTTCACGCCATACTGAGCTGAGGTAGACAAATCATCGTTGTACATTCCAGGCTGGAAGAATGGCAGGGACAGCATGATGACTAAGACCAGCATGACGACCTCAGTGTGGTTCATGCTGAGGACTTGAATTGTAGCATGCTTTGCCATTCCAATGTGAAGACCAGGTGTCCCAGGTGTTAGAAACCATCCATGTGGTACAGTTGCACCACATCACTAAGCTTTTCTTAGCTTTTCTTCATCCAAGCTCTCGCTTCGTCTCTGGGTGTCCGACTCTACGAGTGGTCATCTCGGAAAGCTTTTTGGAGACGGCCGATTCCTTTTGCATATCGTCATCATCCTCCTGCGACAAGCGAGGATGGACTACGATTCAAAAGAACCATGCGCCAAACGGAGTGAGCAGACTCAAAGCTGCTTTAATTAAATACACCCCTCCACACACCGCACCCGGCTCTCCTCCCAATCCATTCCAGGGGTGGCCTCCAGAAGCTATCACATCGAAAAGTTGTGCGAAGTTGCCAAAATTCCAAGGAGTGAAACGATTCAACAGTTTGTTGAGATGCAGTTGTTGGCTAAAGCATGCTAAAGCGTGTCCTGTTCACCTGGATGAGTCAGTTTCCTCTTCTGGTCGACTCTACAAGATTTCTCTTCAACACTTGCACTTCTGCATTCGGCCTCGACAGACTCCCCAGCTTGGTACTTGGGAGACGAGGTGTTCTTCTGGTAGAACTTCACCAGTCGAATTAGCCTTACCAACCGCAGAAGTCGAACTACTCGACCAGCCTGAGCAAGGTCAGCCGAGCATGCGAGCTGCACCGCGTGGGTTTTTTACACCCAACGCCCAAAAAACCCCCCAGCTTGCTTTGGACCAGGTTTCTGACAGAGATTGCTTGTTAAAGAGCCCCTGTTCCGTCGTCCTTTGGTTGCCTCAAATATCCTAAAATCAAGTCAGTGACGATTCGAGCAGGCAGGCCTTGGTGCCCACTCGGCTCATCCTAGCTGCTCGAGCCGCATCAGCGGATTGGCTGCTACTTTGATCGACTGGACCCTGCACCACTGGCCCAGCGCTCGCCTTGGCTTCGAGGTGTCATGGAGTACCAGTTGAACACGAGACATGTATGAGAAGCAATGAAGCTGCAAGGTCCGTGCAATTGTGCTCGGAAAGACCCTACAAGACCAAATTTAAAGCACTTTGAGGAAGTACGGATCAGTGTTGTGTTCCAGGCGCAAATCTCTTTTCTTCACACAAATGCAACTGTTTATATAAACAATAAGCTACTAGTAACAAGTGCATCGCTACTAGTAACAAGTGCCTTACTAGTAGTAACAAGAAGCTAGTAGAAACAATAAGAAGCTATAGACTGTTTATATTCGATGCGTGTTCCATGGGAAATTTCGATGTGAGAGACCAGACCTCTCTTTCACTAAGCTTCCCGACGCCTGCCAGCGCCTGTGCTGAAGAGATGGAATCTCCAAAAAGAGCCTCTGAGACCTGTGGAGAACTCGCTGTGATCGATGAATCTCGGGGACAGGTCCTTCAAGTCGTTCAAAAAGAACCATTTTTTCAGAAACGAGGGATGGCACGCCGTTTTGATGCACAGGTTTTGATGCACAGGTTACTACTGGGGTTTTGAAACCAGTGTTTTCTTGTCATTGAATGATTTTGAATGTTTCTTTGTACAGCAACATCTTTCAAATATCTATCGCTTTAAACAAAGGCCACACATCAACATGGTGCTGGTACAAAGTGAGTTCTTGCCATCCTTCCATTTTGGGTCAAACCAATGATGGCCGTATTCCTCTCCCCATCCACTGGATGCATTCTTCCTTTGATCCCACGACACGGCGTTACCTTGCGTCTGTTGCGCAGAAAAATTACATAAACTGATCAACTCACTTGCCCGTTAAAGCCACTTACCAAGCAACTCACTTTCAGGGGAACGTTCATGGGAGAGACCCAAGATGCAGAACCACGGGTTCTGTGCGTTCCTTCCGAAAAGTTGCACGGAAAGCAATCGGTGGTCACAAAACAAAGAGAGATGTGGAGCAGTTGCGATTTCTGTGGGTTTCAGCAAGACGCCTACAAATTATATATTAATATATATATACAGTATATTATATATATATATATCTTATCACGCAGCAAAAGCATGCAGCATGACGTGTAACAAGCTTAGCTGCCTCGAAGAACCAGAATTGTCAAAACGCGGTGAGATGGTTGTCTGAACTGGAAAGGTTGACAATGTCCGGTGAGAGGTCGGGGAGAGAAAGGGAGAGAGGAATGGACAAAGATATGAGGTCAAGTTGATCAAGCTTCTAGGTGAGGAGTCAATGAGGTAAAAGAAACCCTCTGCAAGTAAGTTCACAAGTGCAAGGTCCCTCATGCACAAGAGAGCTGCTGTTCTGCCCTCAAAGGCTTGCTCTGGGCTCTCGGCATAGGTGAGGTCCAAAATCAAGGTTATAGTGGAACCAAAATCCAGTAGAAAGAAGAAGCCGCAAAGGTATCCTTGCTTTCCTCAGGTACACCCGAATCCATCAGAGATGAATGCTCGCACTCTTTTCCTCAAGCACTAGTGGTTTAGGCGAATGAACAAAACACTGAAGCCAAGTCTCCGAATGTATTGATGATCACTTCTAGCCCGAAGACCACCATCGTCACAGTTGTGATGATGTTGAAAGTATCATCAGCTGCTTTCTCAGAGAAGATCAGCCGCATGTCATCTCCAATGAGGGCATAGATGGTCAGAAGCGTTGTGACCTCGGATCAAAAAACTCTCGACTTCATGCTCATTGGGTTGCCATCAAGTCACAAGTTGACTCACTGTGGGCGACCCAAGGGAACAACTTGTGGACTTGTGGATAAACAGCATGTAGTGACTACACTCCACACGATTAGGACAATATGCAAGATCTCCGTTTTCTTGAGGCGCCAGCTAGTGAAAGAATGGAATTCGCTGCAAGTCGTTCACAAAACCAAGTAAAAGTAGTGCATCTCCTGCGCTGTCAAACAGGCTTCGAATCCAAAAAGGCTGAAATAGTTCCGAGAACTGGGGCTCTTTCAGCTGTGGTGAACCTCATCACAAATGTGTGTAATGGCTGAGTATGTGGCGCTCTGGAGAGGGAAGACACCAGTCGCCTTCTGGTTTCTGCTCAAGATTCTGTCACACTGTCACAATTATCGTTGCATTCTTCCTGCAATTGATCCTGGTGAGTTGGCAGCGTTTACTGGTATGTGCGATGACTTTTGCACCCGGTCTCCTGGGTTTGGCTTGGCCAAACCAATTTTCTAAGTTATCAAATGGAGAGTCCTTGCCCAACCTCAGAAGACCAGTCACTATCAGTCTTCACTCGTCATCTCAGTCATTCTGAACGCCATGGTTCTTGTGGTTGTGGGCCACAAACGCCATAGTGGTTGTTGCATCAAAAGTACCACCAATCAGAGAGCAAAAGGAACATGTTTGGAGAAACTGGGAGCAACGAAATCTCTGTCTATTGAGATCTGGTCACAGGTTTGCGGTGAAGCTTGGTGGCTGTGGTTTGTTGTCAGAGCAAGTGCCTGGCCATCGGATCACATTGATCCCTTACAACCTTACAGGCCACTAATCAGCCGCCAAAGACTTGATCAAATATCCTTTCGTCATGTTCCACAAAGGTCTTACTTCCAAGCACTCCTGGCCTTTACACTTATCCAAACCAGCGTAGACCCGAGAAGTCAATCCCCTCAAGATGAGAACCGACTTCTGCATGGGTTCCTCAGACCCTTCAGTTCCATGTTTCAGCATGCCAAGCTGCTCATTTCCACGGCCAGCAGTCCCATCGCTGCCCTCTGAGCCATTCTCTGCGATCCGTTTCATGGATCCTCGCGCCGTTCGGCGCATCTTCGACACGTTCGACGCGAAAGGAGTTCCCCACGTTCGACGCATCGAGTCGGAGCTGAGGGAGCTGAGTCGGAGCTGATGTCCGCACGTCATGTCCGCACGTCTTGGTCCATGTGGATGTCCTAATGCTTCACGCGCCTTTTCCAAAGCTCTGTTTGGGGATGTCATTGTTGTTGGTCCACAAAAGGGGAGACAGCATTCTCTTGGCGGTGTGCTGGTGGGGCAGAAGAAAAGGATCGAGCAACCCATGGTTCATGTTTTAGATAAGGACATGTAACAAAGAACTGATGCTTCTTGTTGTACTTGCCATGTGACGAATGTCTGCGGATTTGATACTGCCATATCTGGACCATTGTTTTTCGATGTGCATAAAGATCCTCAAACGTGGCACATCTTGTTCAGCTGCGCTAGCCGAGGTCAGCACTTGGCCCCCAGACAGATCAGAGCATCATTCGGCCGGTGTAGACTACACCCTTAGAAACTGCTGACCAAGCTGGTCCTGGCCCTTTTTTCTTTGCGCAGTAGACTGATGAGAATATGTCTCTAGATGGACAGGTCTCGTACCTTGTACTGGTCTGGTCGGGCATCCGTGGCATCTTTTGTCTGGACTTCTGATGGTACAAGCAGCACTGCTGTGTCTGAGTGGTTCCACCTGTGTCTGTGCCTCCTTGAGCCACACGGGTGAGCGCAGTCCTAAACCTCGTGGGAGTCTTCGTGGGACTCTGAACTCCTTCGGTTGGAATCTCCGTGTAGGCTTACAGCAATCGCGGCCCAAAAAGTGGCAAGTTCAGGAAAGTTCTTGAGACAATCCAACCTAATAGCAATTCTTCCAGAAGAAAAGGCCATGGAAAAGCAGCGAGTGTTCCACCAATTTGCCCTCCGTGCCTTTCAATCTCAGTCATCCCAGCTGGTGTCCTGGTGCCGTCGAGTCTCATTCAAAAGCTCAAAACTCACTCCACACTCAAGGGATTGACCAGGTGACCTCTATAAATAGATATAAATGCAGTAGATTCTTGTTGCATACTTTTGCCCCAAAGAGTATTGGAAAATGGCACTTGAGCCAAACCGTCCATCCCTCTACAAAAGATCCGCGTTTGCTCCTCTTCAGGCGCAAATCTTCGGCCCAGCCCCTCCCATCTGCTCTAGCCCGGCTCGGTCCGGCAAGGGCTGCGAAGGAATTTGGAGCGAAACACGGAAGAGTCGGACCGCACGGTCGGAGCGAACGGTCCACAACGAAAGGACCGAACAGTCGGACTGATTAGACCACCAATCACCACTGGTGCCAACAAAAGTCGTACGTAAAACGCCCGGGGGCTTCTCGAACTGCTACAAAGCTGAAGCTACGTGGCTACACATGTGTTGATTCTAAAGTAAAGCTGCTCTATGAAGCTGCGCTCAATCTTCTCAATGAGCGGTTTTTCTTTTTGCACATGTTGCGGCGAATCTATCATGTTCAGTGCACCGAGAGACAAGACAAGACTGAGGATCATAACACTTTGTCGTTGTAACTTCTCGTCTGGATATCGAATCCTGCTCGGTCGGTTTGTCGTGTGTGTGTGTGTGTCAGAGCCTACAGGCTGCCATGCTGAAGCATTGTGTGCAATGCAATAGCATGTGATACAAGCTCCTACAGAGCATCTACAGTCTAGAGTCTAGAGTTCAGTGTGGTATGGGTGTGAGCCTTCTGCATCTACTTGACCGAGAGCTGCCATTCACTGCGCATATCAATGAACGGCTTGACCTGCGGCAGAATCAGTGGCATGCACAATCTTCAATTTGCCAAAGCCGAGTCACGCGCATCAATTTCCAGAACCGTGTGGTATGACCAATGCCACGGAAAAGATCGAAAAACCTTCAGACAGGTCGTGAGCTTGTGCCTTGACCACAGCAGCCTGCAACTTGGCCTCCCCATCCAGCAAGCGCCTGAACCAGTCAGCTAGCACATGAGCTCTGGACTTTGGACACTACTTTACATCAACATGTCCACTGAACTCTGGGTGGTGATCCTTTTGAGCCAGCTTCAGCAACAAGTTGATGTCTCTTTCTTCCAATTGACGTGGCTTGAAAAGATCGTCTGTTCCGCATCCTTTCTGCATCCCTTCCTGGGCGTCCGGACGATCGAGGCCTTGGCAGCGCGATCGCCTTGCCGTTCTGCACGCTTTCGGCGCTGCTGAGGGCCGTTTGGAGCCCAAAGATCTCCACCTCGACGCTCGGCGGTGCGGAGTGTAGAAACAACCGGGGCGGTGCACTAGGCCGGTGTATCCACTGATGACAAAGGAGCCCCTAGTAGCGTCCTTGTTCCTAGTAGCGATGCCAGGAGCCCCTAGATGCTTGGGTTTATAGAGATGATCAGTATATATCTTCTTTGCCCATGCGATTAGTAGCTGGCTTGGGGGCGAACACGAACGATTCGGACCAGCCACAGGGGTGGCAAAAGTTGGTACGAGTTTGGCTTTTTGAAGGATACTGAGTACGCCAATGGAATCGTTGTTTGCATGCCCTACCCTGCTTTGAAACAACTCTGTCACTATGGTACAATTGTTCAAGGAAAATAATTAGGTTGGGGGATATTCCGATGTTTAACTGCCTCGAAAAGAACATGGCCCCGCCCATTGCTACTAGGGGAGGCCATCGCTACTAGGTTGGGGGCCATTGCTACTAGGTTGGTAGCTTGGGTAGTTTGGTGGCGCAGCATCGCGCCAGGTCTGAGTGGCTGGCGCGCTCGATTTCTGCAGACACAGCCACAGCCTGCAAAAGTCTAATCCCAAGCGAGAAACCCAAAGCAAACAAAGCCACTTATATAGAGAGTCTCAGATGGACGATGTTTGTTCTTTACTCCAGAATTCGGTTCCCACAAAGCTCTGATTGTTGGACAAGAAAAGCCGACCTGTACAACCAATTGATAGGCCAAACGTGAACGCCTAAGGGATTTTGCCAGTGTGTTTACTTTGCTTTCATGGAGTGTGGCCATGACATGCTTTTGCTTCTACTTACAACTAAATGACCGGAACTTCAAACATGTTGCCATGACAGCATCCAAACCGAAGCCTGCCTCAGGCAGTGCTCCAGTCTTCGTCGCTCTCAAAACGCCATCCTGGAGGCAGTTTGCCCAGAAAGCAGTCCAAAATGAATGATGGAATCAAGTGCAGAACTGGAAATTATTACAAGCCCCAATTTCGGACATCCACGGGATTATTGGTTTTTTGCTGAGGCTATCGCAATGTCTGGTATGTCGGTAGCACTTGATCTTGCGAATAGGGGTCTTGAAGCGTCTCTGCCGGCAGTCCGGCCTTGAACTCCAGCTCAATATCCAAGAAGCTTTTCCCGTCCTGTCAAGTATTCAGGACCTTTCATTGATGAACAGCTTCTGTGCACCCCACAATACAGCTTCTGTGCACAACTCATCTTCACATCATCCCAGGGCACTTGACACGATGAGGTGAGCGGGGTGGCTTGGGACGCCCTGGTGTCCAAAACCTGACACCTCTGGAGCGCCGCTTTTCGGCAGAGCTCGCGAAGCTGCAACCAACCTGGGACAAAGGAAAGGCTTGGACGGGCGCTGGTGATGTTCGCTGGTTCGGGCTCGAAGAACTAAGCCTTGTTGATGATGGCATCTCATGGCCCAGAAAACACAGATGGTATCGAGTCAGCACAAATTGGCCAACCATGCCAAAGCACGAGATTAAGCTTCTGTACTAAACAATACCAACTTGCATCCTTGAAGATGAGTCGGCAAAAAGCGTGCAGCTTGCTTTCAGTTCACTCACTGGGGCGCTAGGCTGGCCAGGCTCAGGGGTCACTTGGTCAATCATCTAGAACTTAAGACGGTCTCGGAGTCTTGATGTTATTACTGCTACTTTACAAAGCTTGGTCTAAAACGTGTGTGACAGAAGACTAACAAAAATTCTAGTTTCTGTGCAAGGCTAGGTTTGTACAGCTTCCTGCACCCCACCTTCTTTGAGGTCGGTGCCAAACACCTGCAGCACCCGCTGAGCGGCTTCCACGCCCCACGCAATGCATTCGGACTTCTTCCTGAGCAAACAACCATTCTCAAGGCTTCAAGCGGAAAAATACGAATGGACTAGCGGGCAATTACTGAATGCCAAAAACGAAACCCTTGAGATCTAGCCTCAGCAAAAACTTGAGGATACTCTGGGCGGCCGATTGTTAAAGGCTGTGAAGAACGAAATATTCTACCACCCAACAGTGAACCAAGGCAAATGACCAAATCGCGTTTCCTTGGGAACTACCTGCAGCACGTTCCCAGGTTTGAGGTCTGCTTTCTGTCCAAAGGGCTCTTGCTGCAGCCAGGCAGACAAAAAACCACCAGCGAAGAAGTCCCCCGCACCAGTGCTATCAACAACCTGACCAAACCACGCCTTTGTTACTAGTAGCTTCTTGTTACTAGTAGCGATGGCCTCCAACCTACTTGCGATGGTCTCCCCCCAATAGCGTCCTAATATTGATTTGTATTGATTTGTGTAACCTTGATTCCTACAAGTACTGTATATAAATATAAATAATATAAATGATTATGCAGCTCCAGTGACGCACAGCATCTTAGCACAAGTCAAGTATCAATGAATGGAACAAAAATAATATGTTTATTCGATCTTTCCTCTGGCCAATGTGTGCCAAAAAGAGGATTGGTCGACAACAGGCAAAGATATAAAAACCAAAGAAAAAAGAAAAGACGCTGCCTCGTCCAGGGGATGTACGGCATGAAACTCACAGCTTCCAGCCATACAGGTCCAAAGTCCCTGAGATCCAAGTGTCAGCACCTCAGAAGCAACTCAGACGCTACTGGAGGCTCCTGGCCTTGCTACTAGGAGCAAGGGCGCTGCTTGGAGCAACCACAAAATCAAGCGAAGAAAAAAACGAACGGCACTCGGTGCCATGGTGCATCCTTAGCAGGCTGGCTCAGGGTTCAGCTTCCTAAGGTTGCACCAACGGCTGTTGCACCCCTTTCAAGAGGATGGTGTTGGACCATGTCAATCCAGATCGCCCAAGGATGAAGTCCACCGTGCCGCCGCCGAGCCACCGTGAGTTCGCAGTGCTCTCCCAACTGCCGGCACATGGTCTCGGGGTCCAAAGTGCCTTCACCCAAAGCTTCAGCCTCTGCCTCGTTGAGGAAAAGAACCTTGGTGATGCAAATGATGAGAATCAAACAACTTGCACTCAAACCTGCAAGGAGACAAGGATATATATCAGGAAAAGATCCTTGTCAGACCCGCAGGATCTTCATGTTTTTCTCAAGAAATATTTCTGTGCAAACTTTAGTAACTCTTACCTCGTCTCCCTCGTTTTGGAAGTCGCATCCCGGGGTTTAGCACCTCGCCTCGTTATATACGGTTTGGAAATGTTTGGAAAATATTGCCTCGCCTCGTTAGTTCCACCTCGTGCAGGAACTTAATTCTGAGGGGCTTGGCTTGGGTGATGACGGGTAGTAGTAGTAGTAGTAGTAGTAGTAGTAGTAGTAGTAGTAGCAGTAGTAGTAGTAGTAGTAGTGGTCGTGGTCGTGGTCGTGGTCGTGGTCGTGGTGGTCGTGGTGGTCGTGGTGGTCGTGGTAGTCGTGGTAGTCGTGGTGGTAGTAGTAGTAGTAGTAGTTCGTAGCACAGGACAGAATCTTTCTTTTTTTTCGGGCCTTGACTGCAAAATCACAGTTTTGGGTGGTCATGGGTTTTTTTTTGAAAGGCAAAAACGCAGATTCGCAGCCCAAAGTTGTGTCTTGCCTTGGAAAGAACAAAAAAACGCTCCACGACCAGCCGAAACTGTGATTTTGCCTTTCTTTGCCCGACCGTGGTGCAGAGTTGTTCCTTTCTTCCAATCCCTCGTAGCACAGACAGAATCCTTCCCATGAGCCCCAGTAGCACAGAGCCCTTCATATTCGTGGCTTCGTAGCACAGGACAGAATCTTTTTTTTTTGCGCGTTGAAGAAGGATGACTGCAAAATCACAGTTTCGGGAGGGCCTTGAAAAAGGATGACTTGAAAATCACAGTTTCGGGTGGTCGTGAGCCTATTTCTTTGAAAGGCAAAAACGCCGTTTCGCAGCCCAAAGCTGCGTTTTGGCCTTTCAAAGAAAAATTGGAGTCCCATGACCGCCCGAACCTGTGATTTTGCCTTTCTCTGCTCGACCGTGGCGCAGAGTCCGTCCCTTCTTCCAATCCCTCGTAGCACAAAAGGCCTCGTACAGAGACCTCCTTACAAATACAAGCCCTCGTGGCACAAAATCCTTCTCAAGGGCCTTGTAGCACAGAGTCCTCCGAGCACTCCTACAAGCCCTTCAAGCAATTACACTTACAACAATGCCTTATCCATGAGGCCGCGACCAGGGCTCATAGGAAGGGTTCTGTGCTACGAGGCTCATAGGAAGGGTTCTGCGCTACGAGGCATTGGAATAAGGGAAGGACTCTGCGCCACGGTCGAGCAGAGAAAGGCAAAATCACAGTTTCAGGTGGTCGTGGTGCTTTTTCTGTTCTTTCAAAGCCAAAAACGCCGTTTCGCAGCCCAAAGCTGTGTTTTTGCCTTTCGATTGAAAAAGATCAGCCCCACGACCACCCGAAACTGTGATTTTGCCTTTCTCTGCTCGACCGTGGCGCAGAGTCCTTCCCTTCCTCGTAGCACAGACTCCTTCCTATGAGCCCTCGTAGCACAGAGCCTTCAGATTCGTGGCTTCGTGACTGTCACAGTTTCGGGAGGGCCTTGAAAAAGGATGACTGTGCAAAATCACAGTTTCGGCTGGTCGTGGAGCGTTCTTTTGTTCTTGGAAAGGCAAAAACGCAGATTCGCAGCCCAAAGCAAAGCTGTGTTTTTGCCTTTCAAAGAGCCAAAAAAATGCCCCACGACCAGCCGAAACTGTGCTTTTGCCTTTCTTTGCCCGACCGTGGCGCAGAGTTGTTCCCTTCTTCCAATCCCTCGTAGCACAGACAGAATCCTTCCTATGAGCCCTCGTAGCACAGAGCCCTTAATATTTGTGGCTTCGTAGCACAGGACAGAATCTTTCTTTTTTTTCGCGCCTTGAAGAAGGTAAGGATGACTGCAAAATCACAGTTTCGGGAAGGCTTTGAAAAAGGATGACTGCAAAAATCACAGTTTCGGGTGGTCGTGGGGCTGCTTTTTTCCTTTGAAA